CCCATCCCCAGGCTGCCGCCCCGGGGTGCTCCCAGGGCGGTGTCCCCACACAGGGCTACCCCGTGAGGACTGGCCCCAACTTGTCCCACATCCATCTCAGCAGCTCCCCCCAGGGTACAAGCTGGTCACCACAGTGACAGCATTGTGCAGCCGGCTCATCGAGTCACCCTGCTGTCACCCCATCTCACCCGCGCCAGCAGTTGCCATCTCTGGCCATGACACACGTGTCGCTTTGCAGAACCGCAACCCTTTGGTGGCCGTGTACTACACGAACCGAGCGCTCTGCTACCTGAAGATGCAGCAGCACGACAAGGCACTGGCGGACTGCAAGCGAGCCCTGGAGCTGGATGGCCAGTCGGTGAAGGCTCACTTCTTCCTGGGCCAGTGCCAGATGGAGATGGAAAACTATGACGAGGCCATCGCCAACCTGCAGCGAGGTGAGCAGGAACGCTGCCAGTGCTCCCACTGCACCGTGCACCAGGAGGCGGCCAGGCATGGCGAGGGGGTAGCTGGGTGCTGGCTCTGAGGTGCTGATTCTGCCCCCAGCTTACAACCTCGCCAAGGAGCAGCGGCTGAATTTCGGGGATGACATCCCCAGTGCGCTGCGCATCGCCAAGAAGAAGCGTTGGAACAGCATCGAGGAGAAACGGATCAACCAGGAGAACGAGCTGCATTCCTACCTGACCAAGCTGATCACAGCGGAGAAGGAGAGGTAACGTGGCATGAGGCAGCACCCAGAAAGGCTTTTTTAGTGCCACGAAGCATGTTGTGTGTAGTGCCTCCTCCTTCCTGGAGGCACCCAGAGCCCCGCCGCTAGGGCAGCAGCAGGGGAGGGAGGGGGGGGGTCCCTCCATCCCGTCCTGATGTCCCTGCTCTGCCCTAGGGAGCCGGCGCAGTGGAGAAAAGACTGAGCAGGAATAAAACACCGATGAGAGCCGGAGCCGCGTTCAGCTGGCCAGCATCGAGGCCAAACATGTGAGTGGGGTGGTGGGGCTGCTCGTGGAGGCTGAGACAAGCTGGGGGATGAGCTGAGGGACAGCCTGGAGGAGAGGCTGCATGGAGAGCTCAGAGCAGCTTCCAGTATCTGGAGAGGGCCTGCAAAGATACTGGAGAGGGACTCTTGATCAGGGACTGTAGTGATAGGACAAGGGGTGATGGGTTTAAACTGAAACAGGGAAAGTTGAGGTTGTTCCCTGTGAGGGGGCTGAGGCGCTGGCACAGGGCGGCCAGAGAAGCTGTGGCTGAGAGCAGCTGTGGGTGCTCATCCCTGGCAGTGTTCAAGGCCAGGTTGGACAGAGGGGCTTGGAGCAACGTGGTCTAGTGGAAGGTGTCCCTGCCCGTGGCAGGGGGTTGGAACTGGGTGAGCTTTAAGGTCCTTCCAACCCAAACCATTCCATAATTCTGTGACGTCCTTGCCCCATCCTCATGCTGTGGTCAAGGAAGCTGCAGGGCTGTGCAGGCCAAAGCCAGGAGGCCCGGAGGCAGAGCAAGGCTTCTCAGCCTTTACTGTGTGGTGTGAGCTGCTGGTGCAGAGCTTTTCCATCCCTGTGTGACACTGCCCCTGCTCTGTCACCTTAGGTCCCAGCCCCGCAGCAATGCCGCCTGTTTGTGCTCCCTCAGCTGCTGCTCCTGTTCTCCTGTTGTTGTCCCAGGGCTCTCAGCCGCATGTGGGTCTGGGTGCCGGCCCGGCGCAGGGCACTAATCCTGGGATAAAAATAACCCCTCATGGAAGGTTATTTTAAGCTGGATCACTCCTGCTCTGCAGTTCAGCACAGCCAGGGCTGTGAAGGCAGAGGGGCCACCAGGACCTGCCACAGCACCCATGGGTGGGAAGCCTCAGGGCTCTCCTCTGGGGACCCCCATGCACCAGGGTCTCCCTCTTCTCAAGGCCTTCTCTTTCAGGACAAATACCTGGCGGACATGGACGAGCTCTTCTCTCAAGTGGATGAGAAGAGGAAGGTGAGTGCACCCCAGCCTACGCTCCTGGCTGGAGCTGCTTGCCATAAACCTGCTTCAGTCCATGCTCCCACCTCTGCCATGTTCCCTGCTCCTCTCTCTGATCCAGCATCGCCTCCCAGCCCTCTCTTTGATGCTGGTCTCCCCCAGCCCCCCCTGACCCAGCTCTGCTTGTCTCCAGAAGCGAGACATCCCCGACTACCTGTGCGGGAAGATCAGTTTTGAGCTGATGCGGGAGCCCTGCATCACGCCCAGCGGCATCACCTACGACAGGAAGGACATTGAGGAACATCTCCAGGTAGTGCTGGGCTGGTGACACTGGGGGCTCCCCAAGTCCTGCCCTGCCTGGGCATGAAGGCAGCTGCCTGCCCAACCAAGGGCTCAGAAGCTTCCTTGGGCTCGGCCGCGGGTGCCTGTCCGGGCGGCTCCTTGGGGAGGCGTTGGGACACGCAGGAAGGCAGCAGGCGCTGCCCAAAGTGGAGGTGGCTGTTGGCAGGGCCTTGGTCCTGCTCTGGGTGGCACCGTGGGTGGGGACTGTCGCTCTGTCCCCTTCCTTCCTTCCCCCGGCATGCTGTGCCGGGTGCCCCGGGGCTGAGCATGTGGAGCAACCAGTTCACACGGAGGTGTCCTCCCCTGCAGCGCGTGGGGCACTTCGATCCGGTGACGCGGAGTCCCCTGACCCAGGACCAGCTGATCCCCAACCTCGCCATGAAGGAGGTGATCGATGCCTTCATCTCAGAGAACGGCTGGGTGGAGGATTACTGAGGGGCTGTGGCCCCGGTGGCTGGCACCAGGCCTTAACTTGCTTTTCTCCCTCCACTCTGGGCACCCAGAGGCCTGGCGGTGGCTGGGGGGGGGGACACTTGCACCAACTTCCC